TGGAGCTTTTTCCATAGACTTAACATGTGCTAATGTTATCCTATGGGTAATGTTAATCCTATGGGAGACTATTTCCTATGGGAAAGCAAAATATGAACGGCAAGGGTAGTTTTTCTCCATGTTAATCCTATGGGACTAATGTTAAGTCTATGGAAGAATACTTTAACATGGGTTTCTATGGGATTACAGCTTATCTCTATGACATAGGTTTAACATGGACAATACTATATCTATGAGACTAATGATTAGTCTATGGCATAGGATTAACATAGACAACGATAAGTCTATGGGTAATGCTAAGTCTATGGCATAGAGATAACATGGGCAATGCTAAGTCTATGGCAATGATAAGTCTATTGGTAATACTAAGTCTATGGCAATGATAAGTCTATGGGTAATGCTAAGTCTATGGGATAGAATTAACACTGGCAATATGGAGATATATTAGACGAATCTGACAAATTAATCAAACAAATTGTTGTCAAAAATATTTAAAATTTTCAAAATAACAATAGTGAAAGTATTCCAACAATAGTATTGAAAAATTTTTGATGCATTTCCCGAATTGTGGTTAACGTATAGCATCGCTGTGTGATCCTTGTTTTACATGTGTCATGTGTCGTTTCTGATGATATTATATTGCGCATGTTCAACATGTGCAACACATGCGCGTTAATCACTTCAATGGTATATAATTTGTTGGTTACAGTCACATAGCTTTACATGTGAGCATGTCTTTGGACGTAGCTGTTTGTGGCTTATGTTTACAGTCTGTTACAGGATCTGATGTACTTGACCATTTGTCAGACTGTGTTGCTATAGGAAATTGTGAAAAACTTAAACGCACCGTAATTTATAAAAAGTATAATATATTTTGTAATATTTTAAATATATTAGTTGACAATTCATGTGATAAAGTAAATTGTGACACACCTGCTCTAAAAGAATTTGCTTTAAATGTCTATGAATTTTTCTATTTTCATGCTGATATTATGTATAACAATGAATAAGATATTAGATTAAATTTAAGTGAAAAGTTTGACTCAATTTGCATTCTTGCTTTCAATCAAATACCAAATCCTGAGTCTTATTTAATCGCTGTGCCCAATAACTTTACCGAAGAAGACTTATACCGCCATATTCACATTCGAAACATAACAAGGTTACACAATTTTTGCATTCAATTTGGCTCAGGATCTATCACAAGGATACAATTCTGCAGGGTATGTAAATTTACCGCGTGAGGGCGTTATGCGATTTGAGATACACTTTAAAGAGCAATTGCCTTCGGCCACCACAGCTCTTATATATTGTGAGTATGACAATCAATTATCTATTCCCGAAGATCGGAACGCGATTATGGACTATCGATAATTGTGACAATGTGGTCTGACGAAATTGTACGAAAATTTAAAAATGTGCCACATTTTAGCGGTGTGTTTGCACGAAATCAATTACCAGCGGCTGTGAACTTACCCTGTGGGTTAATTGTGAACACCGATACTGTTGACGAACCGGGTTCTCATTGGGTATGCATATATATTGATAAGGATGGCGTTGGCGAGTATTTTGATTCGTACGGTCTACCGCCTTTATACGAAGAATTTAACACATTTCTATACAATAACTGCCCAAATGGTCACTTCTACAACAACGTCACACTTCAATGTATAAAATGTATCACGTGTGGTGAATACTGTGTGGCATATCTTATATGTCGTTTGTATGCAAATATAAGCTATGCTCAATTCATTTCGTCGTTTACTTCAAATCCAGACTTTAACGACAAACTTATTAAATTTTATTATAAACTAATTAAAAATGTCGAACATTAATGATAATAAATGTAACGTTTCATATAAGGATTTTAAAATTTCTAATGATAAAGGGTTGTCTGTTTTGTTTAAAGTACTTGCGTACGAAAGTACTCAATTTGTTGATTGTTTTAGGCAAATAATAACTGTTCAATTTTTTACTGATTTATTGTGTAAAAATTCATTCGATATTATTAATAAAGATTTTTATAAAAATGTTGATTCAATTTTACTGTATTTGTTAAACAACGCTGGTAAAGACGAAAAGTTTGTTGCCGATATTCATTACAACTGTCATCCGTATTTTGTTCATATTATACCGCTTAAAAATGTCAAAGATTATAGTCTAGATGATTTGCACAAAGCATTACGATTTGAAGATATTCCGTTTGATAAAGTACATCATTATGATTATTTTGAGTTTAATAGATCAGTTTTGACTGTTGAGTTGGAAATACATCGAAAAGCTCTGACGTCAGGTGCGTGCGAATCGATGGATATAGATATATACTAGATGATAAGTTGATATTGAATGCTATGTTTGCCTAATGTTAAACAAGTAAACATGCTTCGAAATACAATTTAATTCCTTATTAAAATTAAGTAAACATTTGGTTGTACATTATGGCGAAACCTGTCGATAATGGTGTTGACCATTCATCAGCCGTCATCATGTCAAATGAAATGTTATGTGAAGTATGTTTGGAGAACACAAATAAAAAATCAATGATATCACCATGTGATTGTAAGGGGTCTATTGCATTTATACATACCAAATGTCTTAACAAGTGCATTGAAAGTTCTGGTCGACAACAATGTGAAATTTGTAACAATAAATGGACTGGTTTTACAGTTGTTCAAAAAAGAAAATTTAATTGGAGCCTTATTCGTAACAATAACACTGTTTTACAATGCATTATGTTTTGCATAGCTATTGATTTAATAGTAGTAACTTGTATTGTATTGTATATTACATTAGCATCAATGTCAATTATAAATGTGACCGTTCTATCAGTCTGTTAGTTATTTGTGGCATTTGGTTTATTGTTTTGTGCAAATTTGTTTTTATTTGCTATTTATAATGAGTGTTTCGATATGTCATATGTTATAATAAATGATCGTATTGTATAATGACGTTTAGTTAACGTCACGTGTCGTTCGTGTAGCAATATAAACCGCGTGCAATTCATTCTTTCGTTCATAATCAATTTAGAAGTGAATTATTAAATTACAGAATAAAATTATAATATCAATTTAGAAGTGAATTATTAAATTACAGAATAAAATTATAATATCAATTCTGAAAAATGCGATATGAAACAATACAATATAACTCTTTTGATGTATCAAACAATAAAAATATGACTATTTATTTTAAAGTTCTTAGCTCACATACGTTTATAAATGCAGATGAGAAGAATCAACAATTAAAGTTACGATTTTTAACAAAATCAAAATCTATAACAACAAATTATAATCGCTATCGAAAATATCGAAAAATATTAGATTTTGAGTTTTATGAAAACATAAATTCAATTATTAAAAAATTTTTAGAGAATACGCCTGGCGATAGTGAATATCTAGTAGATTTGACGTATTATCGTGAACGCAATCGTCAAATTGATTTTGGATACTCGTGCTTAAATGCTGAAATTCAAGGACTAATTAAAGATTACAACATTAAGGATATATGCGATAAATTTGACTTTCATAAGCTTAATTTTATTGACAAAAATATTGAGATGTCTGACGCTGAATTCGATCGATCGATATTGTATATTGATATTAAAACTCCATTAAAGAATATTCAAATTTAAGGTTACTATAAAATGAGTGAGTTTATTATTATAACAACCAGTCAACATTTTGTCTCATCATAGCAATGTCTGTTGAAAGTGTCGACATTTCAGCAATCGACATTAATGTTAATGAAAATGTGGACAGTTATGAGTGGATTCCACAACTTAAAAAAATTTTGGAAATGTTTAATAAATTAACTGATAAAAGCTGCAGTTGGGCCAATGATTTTTTTGCGCTTATGAAATCCGAAGGAACTCGATTAAGAACATTCTCTGATCAAATTCTACCAACATGGGCATGTGTGGATGTGTCGCCCGAAAGTCTCGCTAATGCGGGGTTTTTTCGTCTAACTGAAAGTAAAGTCCAATGTGCCTTCTGTAGAGGCATTATTGATAATTGGGAGCCGGGCTCTCGGACACCACTGTATGTGCACGCATTAGTATTTTACATGTGTCCGTTTATTATGGAAATGGATGTTGGAAATGTGCCTCTCGGCTTGGACCCTATTCGTAATCAACCTTCTATTCCTTGTTGTGGTGGCTGTCAAATAGTTAATAGTATCAACGAAAATTACAAAACGTATGAACAACGATTAGCATCATTTGCTTCACACGAGCATTTATTTTCACCAAATGTTAGACAATTCGCTGAAGCCGGATTGTATTATAAAGGGCCTGGAGATCGAGTGAAATGTTTTCGTTGTACAGGAACGATGAGTCGTTTTGCTAAAAATGACGATCCATGGGCACATCATGCAGGCGCTTTCCCGTCTTGTAAATTTGTACGAGAAATAAAAAGTTCAGAATTTATCAACGAATCAATTATTATCGTCGAGGAATTAAAAGCAAAGTGGTTTGCTATTTCAACTTGGATGCGGTCTAATTTTGCGCTCGAATTGATTGATTTAAAACTTCAATCGAAGGATAGAGTTCTTGAAGTGATGAGTGACCGATGGGATCAACAACGGCTGCCGTTTACTTCGTTTGCCCAATTGTAAAGAGCTTGTGATGCTAAATTTGGTATATTGGAGTTAACAAGTGAGAATTCATTATTATGTAAAATATGTTTTGAAAATGAGTTGTGTGTAGTGCTACTTCCTTGTTGTCATACGGCTACTTGTGTCACTTGTGCTCAAAAGCTTGACAACTGCCCAATATGTCGTCACACTGTGCAAACAACTCTTCATACGTTTTATTCGTGATCAACAAATATATAAAGTCTTAGCACTCAACTAATTCTAGTATGTGTTTGCAAGACTCAGTGACAATTACATCTCATGGCTACAGTTTCAGAATCCACAGGTCTTTTAACTCGTAAGTGTATGAACACTTATTTTAAAATAATTGATCACAAAGTTACCACATGTTTACAAACTGATTGGCAATCAATTACGATACAATTCATACAACGCGACCAGTGGTTAGTATAATGGGTATATCTAATGATGGTGTGTGTGGTCTTGCTTTGGCCTTCGGCCTGGTCAGGGTCTCATTTATACTTAGGACTACTAACATCGCTGTGTCCATCAATTGCAAAAGCATTTGCGCTGATATGAGACAGAGAATTGCCTCTAAGATCGAGATCTGTTATACCGGATAAACCTCTAAACGCATAACTGCCTATTGAATGTTCACCCGATTGTATGAGTAAAGTTACAATTTTTGGTTGATTACCGAACGCGTTATTAGGCACCATGGTGATTTTTGTGTTATACATTTCGAAAACATAAACTACGTTTGTGAATATACTAATTAGTTCGTATATATCGTGCTCTAAATGCGGATTAGACGTAATTATTAACTCTTTGGTCACAGTGTGTAACGCCGAGAATGCGCTAGGGTTAATATAGACCAGGTTCGTTTGATTAATTACAATCTTTGCGAAGCTTATATCACCAAAATTATTAGCCTTTATATGAGTCACTCCAGTGTTGTTAAACTCAAAGAGTAAAAAATTCTTCTCTTTTGGATCCAACGCTTTGTTTAATTTGCCAAATATTTCAATCAAATCAATGTTTTCATCGCCAGAACAAGTGATGTATCCATCTTCGCATCCATAACATGGTAGTATTTAGCTGGGGTCCGGGCATTTGCCTAGTATTAATTGTGTGTTGGCTAATAATAAAATAGCTGCACCTAATTTTAAAATAAAATGTATGATTACACGTGACATTTTAATTTATATTTATAAGTAATAATTTATATTAACATCATTGTTTAAATATAATTATTAATTTACACTTACTGAGCAATGCCTTCATTATTGAAATAAATAATTATTTAGCGCTGAGCAAAGTGTTTATATAGTTAAACTATAATGAACATATTCAACAACTTACACTACTTACACACTCCTTATATACTACCAAAACATTAATAAATATATTTGATTAAATTATTTAGAATAAATTTAATTGCCTTATATGATGATTAGTGTTATATTTTCTATATATGGGTAATCTGGATTAATTAAAATACTGATTAGCATTAATCCTGTTATAAATTTTTATACAAAACACTTTATATTTAGACTTTAGACAAGATTAATTATAATCAAAATTAAATATACACGTTTGGACATAACAATCTGATTTTGTTTTTATTGAATAACTTCTCTCTCGATGGTTCAATCGAAAAGCTGTCTTCACAGAATTATTCTATGGATAATAAAGACTAATTTACTAATTGAGATTATTTTTGTAACTATCATGGTTAATTAATTATTTCAATATTAAAAAAGTGAGATTTTTAAAAAATCTCCATAGAAAATCAATGGGAATTTATAAGTATTTTTTATTTTACTAATATAAAAATGATATTCAATGTTGATATTTATTATAAACCTTAATATTTTCACGTGTTTAATCAACTTAAAGGACAATGATCAACAATGACCAAGTTTTATAGGAGCATTACTATGTTGGTATTTTTGAAAATTAATAGAAAAATAATTAATTAAGATCAGTTATTGTAACCAATGACCACGTATTCTATCATNAATAGAAAAATAATTAATTAAGATCAGTTATTGTAACCAATGACCACGTATTCTATCATAAAGGTAGGTGATTAAAGATTATCAATTTATTACAATGTTATTTATTTCGTTCAAATATTCATTTTAAGTTCAAAATACTAAATTTTTATATCGTCTAAAGCATTGTATCAAAATATAGTTTCAATATTGACTTGATTATACACCATCGGATTAAAAAGTATCAATTTACATAAACTTAATTTGGGATACCCTTATTTTCCAAAAATTGAAAGAAGCGCATTGAAACTTTTGAAATAAATTTAATAACTTGAACAGTTTATAAATAACGTAAATCGTATTAAATTTCTAATCTTATAATTTTTAGACTCTGAGCTCAAAC